TCTCATTTCTTAGCAGTGATCAACAATGATCGACATGTTAATCACCCCCACTCTCTTAACTTACCCACCCACTTGCCTCTCAGGCCAACCACTCCTGTTACGTCTCTTTTGCTAGTTCCTCTTCTTTCACCCTGTAATTATGAGCAATCCCCAAGGCTCAATTTCAGGTCCCCTGCTCTTCTTTCTGACCACCACAACTCCAGCCTTAAATTTCTCTACCACGTTCTACTCATCTACTGTCTATATATCTGTTTTCACTTGACTATCCCACTGCCACCTCAAACTCAACATATCCAAAATGTAAGTCCAGCTGTTTGTCTCTCTTCAAACAGCTATTAATACTTTCATTTCTATCTCTGTCAGTACCGCCATTTAAAAAAGTCTAGTTCTTCCTTTGTCACTAACTAGCTGAGTAACTTTGGACACATTTTTATATCTCTCTGGGCCTCAGATTCCTAATGCACAAAATCCACGGACTAGCCCAGACATTCTCAGATGTCCTGGCATTCCAATACTCTGCAATTTCTTATGTCATTGAGGATGGAAACTTCAAAGTCATCTTTGATTACCCCCACCACATGCTCCTTTCCTATCCAGTCTATAATGAAGTCTTACGTGACATCTCTCCAGTCCTATTTTCACTAAATCCAAATACTAGGCCTAGATTATTGTCCTAGCTCTATCACTTCTCTTTCCAAATCATACCCTACGCAGCGCTGGTGCCACCGTTTTTCCTAAAATACTTCCTTTAGCATGCTCTTTCTCAAACCAAACTTTTAAAGCTTCTCTTTTACCTATGGAGCAAAGTACATTCTTCTCATGTTAGCACTTAAAGGCATCCATAATCTAATTCCAATCCATATTATCAACCTGATTTCTTACTACCCTGCCATACAAACCTTCATTTCAAATTGTTTTATGTACAGTTCTGTGAAAATGTCATGCATAATTTGCTTCTGTTTACTACGTGTACAAGGTCTTCCTCTTATGCAAAATCAAATCGTGCCTCGCTTTGATTTTACCGCTCCTCTGGAGCCTTCCCTGCTCACTTCAACTCTAAATGGTCTCAAATAGGGCGCGTGGGTGGCTCAGATGGTTAAGCGTCTGCCTTCGGCTCAGGTCATGATCCCAGGGTCCTGGGATCGAGTCCCGTATCGGGCTCCCTGCTCCTTGGGAGCCTGCTTCTCCCTCTGCCTCTCTCTCTCTCTCTCTCTGTCTCTCATGAATAAATAAAATCTTTAAAAAAAAAAAGAAATGGTCTCAAATATCTGTAACTTTTATTATTTATCTTATCTTCCCAATTACATTTTAAGTTCTCAATGAAAGGAACCTATTTTATATCTTTCTGCATCTCTTTGAACATAGCAAAGTACCTTCTACGTTGTAGATATTAATAAATATTTGTTTGGTGACTGACTAAAGTTCCTGTCTAATACATAACATTTACTGAATGCTCCTCCTATGTTCAGCACTCTCTGTATGTGTTCCTCACAGCAAATACAATCAACTAGAAAAGATAAGGTTAACACTAGAGAAATAATTATCAAACAACCAAATCAGGATATATAAATAAACTATGTGAAGATCCTCTGTGACTTAAAAGAATAAAAATATAGAAAGGAAAAGGTAATATTTAGTGAGAAACAGTTTCAGAAATGAGGTAGAATTTTAACTTGGAGTATAGTCATAGCAATAGTAGTAATAATAATAGTGATAATAAATAATAATTAATAATTACAATAAAAAAAGCTAAGACTTAAGGTGTGCTTAATGTGCCAGGCACTGGTCTTGAAGACTTTTCATGTATTAGTTTACTTCATTCTCACTACAACCCTATGGGAAAAGTACTACAGTCATCCTCGTTTTTTTGGATGAGACTGACGCTCTACTTCATTATGGAACAGTGAGTGTTACAGATACAGAATTGGGCCTGGTGGAAAAAGGATGGGAAACATAAATGGAAGTTAAAAGCTGAAATAAGCATAACTATTATTAGAAAATATGGAAAGCAGCTTGAAAGACTACAGTAGAGAATGCTCCTTGAGGGTCCTTAGACTAAAGACTGAATAAATAGGGCAGGAATAATGACCAAGTATCCTGAGAGCCAAGAAGAGGAAGTTAAATTTACCAAGTAGAGTGTGCAAAGCCACTGAAGATGTGGGGACAAAGAAATGCCACAATAAGGAGTATTAGTGACATTTCTATTGTGGATAAACAGAGAAAGAGATGCTGGATTCTGAGAGGCTGATTAGACTTTCAATATTCTAGGCTGAGGAAGTAAGTCCTGGTGGTAAAGTAGGTAAGCAGAGCTGTGAGGGACAGAAGTACGGACAGGACACGTTGAATGGGTACTACAAGAGGTGAATGAAAGAGGTAGTTTAATGATGATACCTAATTTATTATTTTTTTAAGATTTTATTTACTTATTTGACAGAGAGAGAGAGAGAGAGAGCGAGCACAAGCAGGGGGAGCGGCAGGCAGAAGGAGAGGGAGAAGCAGGCTCCCCGCTGAACAGGGAGCCTGATGTGGGGCTCGATCCCAGGACGCTGGGCTCATGAGCCAAAGGCAGATGCTTAGCCGACTGAGCCACCCAGGCATCCCAGATGATACCTAATTTAAAGCCTATAAGAGCAGGACAGAAGGAAATTCCAAAGGGGTATAAAAATGATGACTTTTCATTTGGGGCATGGTGAGTTTAGGAGACATTCAAAAATACTAGAAAAGCAGGACTGGAAAAACCAGGAAGTGACTAGAATAATCAATAAGCAATAGAATTCGTTTTAAAATGAAAGAACTGGGCGGATGTTATAAAGATATTAAATAGGAGAGGAAATATACTAAGCCATGATCAGCTGGTACTAGCTTTTCAATAATTTTATCAATAATTGTATCAATACTTTTGGTGGGGACAGGAATCAGTTAGTGACCAACATTAAAAAATGCAGTTTTTCCATTTAAAAAAATTTTTGTGTATATCAGAAAAGTCAACCAAAGGCTAAGGCAAAGGTCCCCAAAATGTCTCCATTCAGGGAGTTCTTAGTTTTTGTAGTATTTTCACAGCACTCCTAGGCCAAAAGAAATACTTCAGTAGGTGAATTCAAACCATTTAATATCCTTACAACTTAGTGCTTGTCTGGCCTTGTACAACTTCTTGGAATCAAACCGGACAACATCACACTCTGATTTCCTGTATCACATTGATTCTCATGCGGTAGTTGCTTTTTATCAGAGCAATCTCTAAAAAAAACAGCTTTGCAAAGACAGGGCATTGTAGAAAGGAACGTGTCAATTTAATGTTGAAACGGTGAACTACCTCAAACTAATAGTTCAAGCCTGAGTTCACTGCTGCTCTGGGGCACCTCAGCACACAGTTTGGGAAACTGGGAGCAAAGGCAAGGGGCCTAAAAAGAGGGGAAAAAAACGTAAGAGGGGAGGAGCAGAAGAAAGTTCTTAGCACAGTTAACCACAAGAGGGCAGCACAATAGTTGGTGGAGGCAGCATAATGGTGGGGGGGAGGGGTGTCAAGGAGAGATAAAAGTGGAACCTTTCCATAAAAAGGCTCCAAGACCTCGTTGATCAGTTCAAGACCTGTAAGTGCTTTTTCTCCTCCTGCTAAAGAGGAAGAAACACTGTCTCTGGCAGACCACCTTATGCAGAGTGATTCTGCCTTTCTCTAAATCTCCTTTGCCTGCCCAGCCCATGATAGCAGCCAAGACTTCAACAGCAGCCAAGCAATGCACCACTTCCCCTGCATAATCTTACTGAATCTTCACAACGACCTTTTAAGAAAAGTGAGGCTCAAAGACATTTTAAATAATACAACTATTAAGCGGCAGGAACACCAGGATTCAAACCCAGATCTGACTCCAGAGCCAATGCACTTCCCTACTCTGCCTCAAGAGCATCCCACCTTTCAGCAACAGCCAGGAAGTAGCGAAAAGATACCATGTTCCCTTCCCATACCTGAGACACCCGTCTCTGTCGCTAGAAAACCCAGTATATGAAACGAACTGTCCTGTTTGTTTTAATTTTAATTTTAACATGCTATGAACTCCAAACACAGGACATTCAGGTAAAACAAAAACAAGCTTCACATTCTTATGTAGTCAGCAAGTACTGAAGCTTTCCTGTACTATTAAGGCAAGTGTTGGCCACATCTAGTTTACGGTTATGCTACACTCTAACAGATACGTCGCACATGCAAGCTAGTGATTCTCACACTCGTGATAAAAGGTGAAGGGGGTGGGGAAAGAGAAGTCAAAAGTTGAATATTCATCTTCAAATCTGCTGGGTGTTGCATAGGATATTTGCAGGAGCCCAACGACTCACTTGTACAAACCTATTAAGAAACCAAAAGCAATTGTCATCTCTCTTATTCCCACTTCCAGTTTCCTTCTCCACATTTCTCCTCCCCTCTATGACATATTCAGCCGCTTCTGTCCTTTCATTCAAAGAAAAGGAGTTTCTCCTGACTGATTAACCACCACCGGAAAGCAAACTGGGTAAATTCAACCGACACAGCAAACTCAGGCAGATAAAACCACCCAGGAAGCATTCAATGTGGCAGCAGAAACCCCAGCAAGAACAGCTAACGTGTCTTCTCAATAGGTAACCCCAGCAAGAACAGCTAACGTGTTCTCTCAATAGGTATCTCTTATTACTTGAAAACGTTCCTCCTTGAAAGATAAACAATCTCTGGCTGCTCGAGGAGAAAGGGTAACTGGCAACGCGTCTTCTGCAAAGCCTTGTGACTTGTATGATCAGAGGAGAAAGAAGCAGCGAATGTCTCTTAAAGGATCCCGGAGAGCAACAGTCAACAGCCCCGAATCGCCCTCCGGGACCAACATTCTAAGTTCAGCACTGCCATTTTCTTAGGAGTAAACCGCAAGGAACCCTGCCTGTCCACACACGCTCGCAGCCTTCCTACGCACGCACTCGCGGCTCGCCGCCCTCGCCTTCCCCGCCGCCGCACCGCCCGGCAGCCAGGATCGCAAGCCCACCTTCGCGGGAAGGGGAGGAAGGGCCTTTTTCTTCAGACGCGCAACAGTACACATCTTGCTCCCTCTCTTGCTTCTGTAACCTAAAAAAAATAAAATAAAAAAAAAAAAAAAAAAGCAGCAGCCGTTATTACCGCAGAAATCCAGGGGAAATAGATGCTCTTCCCTGGGCTGTCCCGACGTCTAGAACGTTTTAAAGATCTGCAAGGGGAGAGGGAAGGCGGATACGAGGCACACAGGGATGCAAACAGCAACAGCAAACACGCCGTGGCCGGCTTCCCCTCCAAGAGGAAGGTGTTCTCGCCGAGAAGTTCACAGCCACTAGCAGGGGCAGAGCAGGGGTCAGGAGGCGGGAGGGAGGTGGACGGTCGACCACGGCCCCCCACCCAGAAGCCACGCAGCAATCGCACGCACCAGCTGCACCGATCCCGCGGCGAGGACGCGCCCCCAGGCCCGCAGGGGCTGCTCCGACCCGGCGCCCGCGGCGGGCCGGAATTCGCGGAGCCCCCGGCGTGGGTAGGGGTCCCGGCGTCCGCCAGGCTGGGCCCTCCCGGGCCCTCCCGCGCGGGGTCGGCTCCCACTCACATCCCTGGGCGGCGAGCCCCGGGCCTGTCCCCGCGCGGCCGCAGCAGCTCTCCGCCCCGACGCGCGCCGCGAGTCCGGGCCCAGGGCCGAGCGGCCGAGGCGGCGGCACCAACTCCGGAGCGCGCCGGGCGCCGGCCCAGCCTGTCAGCGCTCAGAGAAGTCGTTGGCCGCGGCCGCCGCTACCCCTTGGGCTCCTCTTCCTCTCTCCTTCTTCCAGCCCACACCACTCCCACTTCGGGCAGCTGGGAAGCCCGGCGTCACAGGGGCCGTCTCCACCCTCTCCCGGGCCACACCGGCTTCTCAGCGCCTCGGGCGATACTGGCTCGTACGCCCTATTTGCGTCGGACTCGGCCTCCACTCAGGCGGCCGGTTCACTGGCGACTGAGGCGGACCCGCGGGCGGAGCGGGGGCGGGGGCCGGGGCGGGACCCGGCCGCGCGCCCCCGGACTGCGCGTGCGCGCGTGCGCCGAGCCGCTGCACCGCCCTTCTCCGGGCATGCGCGCGCCGCCGGGCTGGCCGGAGCCGCCCTGGGCTTCCCGGGCAGTCGGCGGGAGCGCGTGGAGAGCCCCGGCGCGTCCCCTGGGAGTGAACGGGCGGGGAAGTTGAGCCAGAGCTGACTACCTGGGCCCCAAAGCCCGCAGGAGCCTTGCGCCGGCGCTGGGCCCGGCCCTCCCGAGATGCGCGTGTGTGCGGCCGCCGCCCGCCGTGGAGGCGGCTGAGAATGAGTCAGCCGGGCCGGGAAGGCGCCCCCTGCATGCAGCCTGGGACCACAACGCTATCCTCCAGTGCACTGGTGTTCGTTCCCCTTCTGCTTTCGCTTCCACGTTCCGCGTGCAGCCGACCTCTCCTTCCCCACCCAGTCCAGGCCTCTAGGCCGAGGGGAAGTGGCGCCGAGGGTTGGGGCAACGTTCACAGGCGCCGTTTTGTGCAAGTGCAATCCCGAGAGCCTGGCTCCAATCCATCACCTCTGCAAGAAAAGGGTGAGGGTGGGACGAGGCGCCCAGCTCCCTGCGGATTGGCGACAAGATCCAGCGAATGAGGAGAAACAAAGCCCACCGTCCCCCAAAAGCTCCATTCGTTCGTTCAACAAATATTCGCATAGCATCTACCAGGTGCTGGGCTGCAAGGGCCCCCCAAGGATGCTGCTATGTAATCGCATCCCGCATTCTACTTGCTCTACTGGAGCATGTATTCTGATAAAGTGACCAGCATACTTTAAATGTATCATATGCCAGTGTATAATTGCAACTAAGAAAAATAATACAAAGTAAAGGAAAAGAAGGTGTGGAGGCAGTGTGCTATTTTAGTGAGGGTGGCCAGGAGAGACCTCCTAGGGTAAGTGACATCTGAGCAGAGATGTGAAAGATGAAAATGAGGCAGTCCTGTGACTGCATGGGAAGAGAGTTTCAGGCAGAGGGACGAGCAAAGGCAAAGACCCTGAGAAAGGAATGTGCTTGACAAGTTCAAGGACCAGGAAAGAGGTCACTGTGGCTGGAGGACAGTGAAGGAGAGGGCAGTGGAAAGCGATGAGTCCAAAGGGGTAGCCTGGGACCCAACTGTGTAGGGTCGTTTTCACTTATTAGCCCTCTTTCTATCTGAAAGACCTGATGCGTTTAGAGCCCCTGTTTCTCCCTTCACAAATGATGCTGAGATTCAGGTCTAACTTGAATTTAATGATTTCTTTTCAACTCACCAAAGCATTTCTTCTTACGTAAGACCCATTGCAAAAGGTCTTTGAGCAAATGATAGCAGGATAGGAAATGACTTGAATTCACACTGACTCCTTTAAAGTAAATAATGAATGACAGCTCCCCTTTTCTCATAAGAGGGAGGGATTTACAGGAGAATTGCATTCCTGTGGCTACTGTTTTACAAGCAAAATACCCTGGAGAGTCCTTATTTTCAATATCTAAAAAGGAATCAAATAGTTGGGAGTCAATGGCAAATCTAAAATCTGCTTAGAATATAAAGGCTGAAATCACAAGCAGCAATCACCATGTGAGTTCCCTTTTCCTGCAAACGAAAACTGTTACTGGAGTAGAAACCAGAACACAGACCCACGCAAAGAAGATAAAATGGCAGAGTTGTCCTTCATGTCACAGCTAAGATTAAAGTCATCTATCTGAACTGTGGAAATGGAAATATTCTCTTTTGTGAGAAAAAAAAAATGCCCGTTTTATGAACTGAAACAGTGCCGATGCATTCACTGCAGTGAGTGATGTTTCTATATTTTACAATACATGTTTATTCAACCAGACCTGGTGTCTGTTACCGGCCACTGCCTGTTTGCAGGGGGGGAAGCCATGTTAAAAAGTGAATATTCAAGGGGCGCCTGGGTGGCTCAGTCGTTAAGCGTCTGCCTTCGGCTCAGGTCATGATCCCAGGGTCCTGAGATCCAGCCCCACATCGGGCTCCCTGCTCAGCGGGAAGCCTGCTTCTCCCTCTCCCTCTGTTGCTCCCCCCAGCTTGTGCTCTCTGTCTGTCTCTCTCCGTCAAATAAATAAATGAAAAATCTTTACTAAAAAAAAAAAAAGTGAATATTCAGGGTTTCTTGTGGGGGAAGGGGTGTGGTGTCTAAATGGGGTGTCTCTTGATAGGCTGGGGGCCCCCTAAATGCAGGGTGAAGATCAGGTGGGAGCCAGTGGTACAGGAGGTGAAAGACTTCACCTAAGACAGAACAAAGGAGATAGAAGTTTATGGAATACACCGGAAGGGAGCTGTGGACAGGACAGCAAAGGAGAGGCTGTCTGCAGCGAGGTAGTGGGTGGGGGCTGTTTTTCAAAGGGGGAAGATGAAGAGGTATGGCAACGTATCGAATTCTCCCTTTTTTGGTAACTGTGCCGAGGTGTCCAGAGCCTACTGGTCAGTTAGGGCCTCTGGGTATTTTGGAGTGGGTCCCCTGATGGACCTTTTCTACATTCCATTGCTCAAGCCTGTTTGCCCCCGAAAGCGGCCTCTACAAAGGGAATTTTTTTCTATAAAAGTGATTTGGATATGGAAGACAGGTGGACTGGAAAGAAAATATATTATTCTTAGGTTTATAGAATTGAGAAATCTACCCGCCCAGAGAGATAAAGTGACTTGCTTAGTGTCACTCAGAGAGTGGAAGCATCTCTTCTCACTAAGATAGTATGATTTTTAAGTCAATACTGCCCTGGAATGTTGAGCTCTTTTCACCCTGTAGAGAATTTTTTTAGCTCTTGATATGATCCCCGGTAGTGGCATAGCTAGAAAGTTGTTCCCAGGGCAAACATTTCAGAAAGATACCCCCATTTTTAATAAGGATAAAAGAGAATTCCAGGAGAACTTTTTTTTTTTTAAAGAGTGTGGGGCAGTGGGGCAGAGGGAGTGGAAGAGAGAGAATCTTAAGCAGGTTCCATGCCCAAGGCGGAGCACGAAGCAGGGCTCCATCCCATGACCCTGAGATCATGACCTGAGTTGAAATCAAGAGTTGGATGTTTAACCAACTGAGCCACCCAGGTGCCCCCCAAGAGAACAAATTTGACCAAGTCTTTCACGACATTCTTTCACACCATGTGGAGAAATAAGAAACGTGGGTTGGCGGCTTACATATTTAGATTCAAAACTGATTGTGTGGCCATATCTAAAAGTAAAAATTAGCAGCTGTCACGTATGGGGCGGTGTGTGTGGCACGTAGTAAGGTCCTGTACTTCCACTGCAGTAGAACATGGCAGCAGTGGGTCTTACTACCACTCTCCAAACCCACCTCTGTGACAAGACTGTGACACTGTTGTCAGATGGGGCTTTGGCTGCTGTGTCTTTTTAAAGTCCCTAGGTGGTTTTGATGCAAAGTCAAAGTTGAAAATACATGGCCAAGGGTTTAAGAACTTAAGCTTGAGAGTCTGGCAAACCCAGGTTTGAATCCCAGCCTTCACCAAGGAGGTCATTTAGATTTTCTAAGCTTCCATTTCCTCATCACTATAATCAGGGTAATAATACCTTCCTTGAGTCATTTGGGAGATTAAGTGAAAAAGTATTTTTAAACCCTTAGCACAGCTATTAAATGCGTATTACAGTTGTGGTAAGGTCAATTTACAGATATCAGCAGGCTGGGAGGTATAAGAAATATGCTGGATTTTATTAGTAATCCTGAAGCATTTGTCACAATTTATCACATTCCACAGAACTGTGTGGGGTAGAATGATAAGGGCTGAGTTGTAACAGAGATAAATGCAAAGACTTGCATTTGGATAAAAAACAACAACTATGCATTAAATGATGAAATAATAAAAATATCATTCTTAAGAGGGGCAAAAAAAAGATATAGAAAATCCTTGGAAAGGGAAACAGTTTCAAGCAAATGGTTGGGGATAGACTGGGAGTTACTTTCTTTCCAAGATAGGGAAGAGTACTTTTCTGAAGGCAAGGGAGGTAGCTATGGAGAGAGGCTGATTTATTCCAGGTCTAGTAATATAAACCAAAAGGCAAAGGCAGGAGTGTGAATCAGGTAGACAGACAAGCAAGCAATGTGTTTTTACTTTGAACCATCCAGATATTTTAGAATCGTTCATTTCAAAGTTTGGTTAGATATGGGGGGGGAGGGTGTCCAAAACCTCCTCTGCACTTCAGCATATCCCTGATCTCTCATCCTTCCTTACAGTCCCAAAGATAAAGGGTTCCTGGCAAACAGATCCCTCCTTCCCTCCTTCTCTTGAGATAACCAGATACATTTAACTTTGGTGCATGAAAACCAAAAGTTTTCTTCCCCTCTGTAAACCAGGAATTAATAACCTCCTTCAAGTAAGGATAATTATTTGGTGAAATATGCAAAATGTCTATTATAATTATACTCTACTTTACAATAAATGTTTTACTTAAAACAGAGGTATAGTAAACAATTCACTAAAAATATTTTTCTTTATAGAAGGAGTCATGTCATGATTCACTCTTAAAAACAGAAATTTCCCTGGCATAATCGTTCGTTTACAGGGCATTAATTCCTGAGTTCTTATTTAGATTATGGATTCTGCCTCTTTCTCTGAGAACGGTCCTCTTCACCCAGAGTAGCCAGCCTCTAGCCCCTGGGTTATTGTTCATGACCCTGCCCCCACAGCCCTTGATTGCATCGTGAGTTGTCACATGACTCAAGCTAAGCCAATCGTGGTCTCCCTTTTGGAGAAGTCCAAACTGGGATTCAAAGACAGTTGACCAGACTTTTCTTTTCACTTGATGCTTCCTATGCTCTGAGGTTAAATC